AGAAGGAGATCAGTGTTATAGTCCAGGGAGAGAGGACTGTACAAGAGTACGCCACAGAGCTGGAGCGCTTGTGGCTCGATCACGATCACTTCTCGCCCCTAGCGAGCTGCAAGGACCCGGAGTGCAAGGAGCGCGAGGTCTCTTTGCAGAAGAGGACCATGTTGTTCCTCCGAGGTTTGGCTCCAGCGTATGAGCAGAGGACGGCATTGTTACTAGCCCAGACGAAGATCCCACCACTGGAGAAGGCAGTCTCAGCCATGATATAGGAGGAGAGCCGTATCAGGCTACAGTCTGGGATAGGTGAACTTACAGGGGAGAAGTCTGCACTGGTGGTATCCAACCCGGATAACACTGGATTCAAAGGGGAGACTAGGCAGTGCTTCAACTGCGGAGAGGTAGGGCATCTGAGACAGATGTGCCCTAAGCCACCCAGAGAAAGAAACTGGGATGAACGTGGTCAGACTGGTGGCCGTGCAGGTCGAGGAGGCAGGGGACGTGTAGGCCAAGGAGTTGCTCACCTAGCTGTGACAGATGAGTCTCAGACTACTGCTGGGATGACTGGAGCTGAAATAACAGAGCTGGAGGAACTACGTCTGTTCAAGCTTCAGGCTGAGAGTTCGAAGGACAAGGGACAAGTCACCCAGGATCTGGCTACCACTACATGCTTTGGTAACTTTATTGGTTATGCCCATGCGAACAAAGGTACACAGGTTCAGGCACTTGCATCCACTAAAACTCATGTTGATTGGATCATAGACTCAGGTGCATCTAGGCATGTCACAGGAACATCTAGTGAGTTTGCATTATATTATCCGAGTAAGCATATGCATCCTGAGACAGTTCAGACTGCTGATGGGACATCCCAACCCATCAGGGGTACTGGCTCGGTCCATTGCACTTCATCTGTTACCTTGTCATCAGTATTGCATGTTCCTTCGTTTCCAGTTAACTTACTCTCAGTTAGCTCTCTCATTGATCAATTAAATTGCACCGTGTTATTTGATCGAGATTTGTGTGTCTTTCAAGAGAAGGAAACGGGGAGGAGGATTGGGACTGGTATCAGACGTGATGGTCTTTGGTATTTGGACAGGGAGACAGCAATGATTGCTGCTGCTGTTAGCGGAGGGCCAGAGGCAGAAGCGATGCTTCAACATTGCCGGTTAGGGCATTTATCTTTTGAGAGTTTAAATAGATTAGAACCTGAGTTAATGAAGAAAGTGGATAGAAAAGAGTTATTTTGTAATGCATGTGAACTTGAAAAACATACTCGTTCTACTTATAGAATGATTGGTCTTCGAAGTTATGAACCATTCGCACTTGTCCATTCTGATGTTTGGGGACCATGTCCTACTACCTCTATCAGTGGTTTTAGATGGTTTGTTACTTTCATTGATTGTTATTCACGTATGACCTGGATATACATGATGAAGCAGAAATCAGAGGTTTACAAATGTTTTCAAGATTTCTCGGCTTATGTGAAGACACAGTTTGGAGTGCAGGTGAAGATTCTTCGAACAGATAATGGGACTGAGTATGTCAATAAGGAGTTTGCAGCTTTCATCTCTAATCAGGGAATTATTCATCAAACCACCTGCCCAGACACCCCTGCTCAGAATGAGGTGGCTGAGCGTAAGAACAGGCATCTACTGGAAGTGGCACGCTCATTGATGTTGACAATGAATGTGCCTAAGTTTTTATGGAGTGAGGCTGTTATGACAGCAGCTTATTTGATCAACAGGATGTCATCAAGAGTATTAGGGATGAAGACACCATGTGAGATGCTTTTGGACTCAAATGTTTTTGTTGTTCCACCAAGAGTGTTTGGATGCACATGTTATGTGAGAGATCACAGGTTGATGATGAGTAAACTAGATCCGCAAGCAGTTAAATGTATCTTTGTTGGCTACTCATCAAGTCAAAAAGGATACAAGTGTTGGTGTCCCACTAAAAGAAGGCTGTTTGTCAGTATGGATGTGACTTTTCGGAAGTTTGAACCTTTTTATGGGGAGAAGACGGAGTTGAGTTTCTTGTTTGGAGATGGCTCTACTGATGCTAGTAGAGAGGGGGAGAATGAGAATGAGAATGATATTATGGTCGGGATGATTCCATGTCCTCTTGAGTTACCGAGTAGTGATGGTACATCGTCGAGTAGTGATGGTGACTTAGGAGTTGGTAGTCAAAGTCAGGGGGAGCTGAGAGTATACACGAGGAGACAGAAACAACAGCATGAGCCGCCTCCCGTGCCTGTGTCAGTACCCACAAATGTTGATGACCCAAGTCCCTCCTCTCCAGTGCCTTGCTCTTCTACTCCACCTGAGTCGATAGGTAACGATTCCTTCCCTGATACCTCTGATACTCCTGTCTTGCCCCGCAGAACCTCTAGAGTCAATGCTGGAAAACCTCCAGCTAAGTTTGGTAATTGGGATACTGATATTACGAATTACATTTCATATGCATCTATTCCACCTGCATATAAGTCATTCATTGCATCGTTGCATTCAATGCCTGTACCTAACAACTGACAGGTAGCTAAGAAAGATCCTAGGTGGTTGAATGCCATGCACGAGGAACTCCAGGCCTTGAAGAAGAATGACACATGGGAGTTGGTACATTTGCCAGCTGGGAAGCGTGCTGTTGGATGTAAGTGGGTGTACACGGTTAAGCAAACTCTAGAGGGCAAGATCGACAGATACAAGGCCAGATTGGTTGCTAAAGGCTACAGCCAAACATACGGCATTGACTATGACGAGATATTTGCTCCAGTAGCAAAGATGAGTACTGTTAGAGTGTTGGTGTCATGTGCTGCCAACTTTAATTGACCACTACATCAGCTAGATGTCAAGAATGCATTTTTGCATGGAGATCTTCAAGAGGAGGTATATATGGAGATTCCACCAGGCTTCACTACTTCTCAAGTAGTTGGAAAGGTGTGCAAGTTGAAAAAGTCTTTGTATGGGTTAAAACAGTCTCCGAGAGCATGGTTTGATAGATTCAAGTTGGCAGTTTGTGGTATGGGGTACAAGCAGTGCAATGGTGATCATACTGTGTTTTACAGGTACTCCAAAACTCGTATCACTATCCTGACGGTCTATGTTAATGATATTGTAATCACTGGAGATGACGCTGAGGAAATCCTATTGTTGAAGAAGAAATTGGGAGAGGAATTTGAAGTTAAAGATCTGGGACAGTTGAAGTACTTTCTCGGAATTGAAATTGCAAGGTCGCGAAAGGGTATAGTGCTTTCTCAGCAGAAGTATGCTCTGGATCTTCTCTCAGAGATAGGGATGTTGGGGTGCAGAGTTGCATCTACTCCTATTGAGCAGAATCATAAGATGAGTGCCGAGAGTGGGGACCCTGTGAGTAAAGAGCAATATCAAAGATTGGTTGGACGACTTATATATCTATGCCATACGAGACCTGATATTACTCATGCAGTGAGTGTGGTGAGTAGATATATGCATGATCCCAGAGAGCAGCATATGGAGGCAGTTCGCAGAATTCTTAGATATATTAAAGGAAGCCCAGGAAAGGGGTTATGGTTCAGGAGTTTTGGACATCTGAGAATTGAAGGCTATTGTGATGCTGATTGGGCGGGTTGTATGGATGATCGTAGATCCACTACAGGCTACTGTGTATTTGTTGGAGGCAATCTCGTATCTTGGCGTAGCAAGAAGCAAGATGTGGTGGCTAGGTCTACAGCTGAGGCCGAGTACAGAGCTATGGCAGTTAGTCTGTGCGAGTTGATGTGGGTAAAAAACATATTATCTGAGCTGCGCTTGTTTAGAAGAGACTCCTTACAACTTTGGTGTGATAACAAATCGGCAATTAATATTGCAAATAATCCAGTTCAGCATGATCGCACCAAACATGTGGAGATCGATCGGTTCTTTATCAAGGAGCAACTGAATAGAGGAGTTCTGACTTTGAGCTATGTGAAATCAGAAGAGCAGTTAGCTGATTGTTTAACAAAAGGATTAGGTTCTAGAGAGTATGATATCTTTTGTAACAAGATGGGGATGATTGATATCTAACGCCCATCTTGAGGGGGAGTGTTGAGTTATTTAGATACTAAGTGAATTAGTCAATGTTGTAAGGACCTAGTTGTAAGAATGCATTAATATAAAAGAGGGGTCTCTCAATGAGAGAAACTAACCCTAATCTTTCTACAAGTTTTATGAAGTCAAGTACTAATTATAGTGAGCATCTTAAGGGAAAATCAAAGATGAAAAAAAAGCATAGTTAAACAAGAATTTTAAGTGGAGACAATTCAAGATGAGCTGCCTCATAAAAAATTACCTTACAATATGTACATATGTGCTTACATACGGTAATTATGCACACAAGTTGATGTAGAACACACTGCACATATATTTATAGAGAAACGAGACCGCCAAAAAGCCCAAACGCAGGCCCAGCAAAAGAAAATAATTTACAACAAAGAATGAGTCATATCTCTCATATCGTACATCGGAATTGGACGAATTGCGTATGTAAATCGCGTATTTTTTTTGAGATGGAGTCAATCAAACCTACCATTGTTCGGTTTGTCGCCGTCTTTGCGAAATTCCCTCCGGATTGAGAGATAAGTTTTTGTCAGTTTTTTACTATTTAAGGTAATGTTTTAAGAGTTTGTTTTGATTAAGAAGCAAATCGGATTTGATTCCAAATTTGACCGATTTACTTTCCTAATCATGTGGAGTCTTTTAAAGAGAGTTTTGTTATTTTTATTTTTGGCAAAGTTCGGGTCAGGAGTCTTAGTATTGTAAGCCCTAGAGGCATAATTTTTTTATCAACAAAATTCCTCTTTAATATTTTCTTCGTGGATTCGAAGCTCTTCGTACAGAGATTGTTCTTTGTGGATTCGGAGAACACCCCTTGGTGGATTCCAATGTTTTCACTTCCACGTTGCGTTACAAGTACAATAATACAATGTTGCATGTCTAATGAGAAGGAGATAAGCCACTGAAAAGACTGAAATTATAACGTGTGAAGTACCAAACCTGATGCTGATGTAGGTGTCAGTCCATGGGATGGCCTAGTGAAAGACATGTTCCGATAAATATGATCGAAGTCAGCATTTCGCCTGCTAACTGCTTCCAGATGTGCAGCAAAATGAGAGTTCGTAAAGCAAATTACTCGATCATAGACTCTCATCCTTAAACCAACAGATCCCTGCAAAAAAAGCTTTAGCTCGTAATGTCTCCATGCGAATAGTTACTTGTAAGGAGTTTGTAAAGTACATTAAACGATGTTAAGACAACATCAACACGTTGACTATCAATTTTCATTAAAAAATAATAAAAAGAAACTAATATATTCGAGATGAGATAGAAAATTAAATGAGTTTGTTATCTACAATTTGAAATCCAAGTATGTTATCCCATCATTTAATCTACTGTTTGAAATCCAAATGTTAAGATTTAATCTTGTCCAATTGGCTGATGAGAATAAACTTCAAATTTAAAAGGGTTATCTTCTAATTTAAAATTCAGCTTATACCTATACAAGCTTGTAATCAAAAGCCCTCTCTCCCAGCCAGGATACCTGACAAAGTGGAGACCCCGAACTTGCTAAGAAAAACTCCAGCCTATGTACCGTTATCAAACTTTACTAAATTTGATTTGTTTCCTGTTGGCCTAGAGAGGGGATTTAGGGGAGGACTATTTGTTTTTGTTGTTGATCGCTTATTTGTGGCTGATGACAAGCTTATATAGGAGAGTGATTAAATAGGTAAGATCAATCATAAGTTAAAAATAACCCTTTTAAATTTGAAATTATCATCATCACCTAATTAGACATGATTAAATCTCATTAATTTGATTTTAATTAGTAGATCGGATGATGGGATAAGGTATTTAGATTTCAAGGTGTCGACTAAAATTCACTTAATTCTTAATCTTATTTCGAAATTTACATTTATTTTACTTTCAATATTATTTTCCATAAAATTTGATGTCAACATGGTACTGAGAATGGTTACTATTGAGAATAAAGAGAATAGGAACCATGTCCATGGTTAAAATCCATTCTAGAAAATATGATTTCTTCATGTAAGTGTTGCCTCCTAAGTGAAGTAGGAGCTCTAGGATGTCTGGCCACAAAGTGAGGTCTAATTACCCAATTGTTTAAGCTTTTGACAAATGTTGTAATGGTTACAACAAAAAGGCAAATATTTATTATTGATTTCTATTGCAGAAATATATTCCATAGGTCAACCTAAAATAGAAGCACATAGATAAGAAGACAAGCATTGAGATCTCGCTCTATTATTTTTTGTACCAAATGCTTCTGCCATACACTGTAACACTGCCAGTAAACCCTTTAGAAAAAGAGCCTCGACTTGGAGACCTAACAGACCATTTCCCTACTTTTACCATCCTCTGCTATCGCATCACAGTAACATTTTCCAAATAAAATACCAAAATATGATTAAATATGTGTAGTAATTGAATTAAGTGAGACAGGTACCTTGTTCCCAATTGCCCGCCCAAATCCACATGGCACTGCTGCAGCATCAACATCACCAATATTTGGCCTAATACTTTTCCGAGCCCTAGCAAGTGACAAAAGGTATAACCCATAAATGCACATATTGACTGACAAGCATAATAGCTTTAAGAGAAAAAAAAAGAATAAATAAGACATATCAGAATGCATCTCTAGCATCAATAACCTAAGACGAGATCAACATGTTTAATGAAAATATTACCATGCACAGATAAGCAGACCAGCCAATTGCCTAGAACCAACACGTTCAAATGATGACCCTTCATCTAGGGTCTTTCCAATAGTGTCCAACCACCATTGTCCATTAGCACTCCCCTCAAGTCCTACCTAATATCAGTTTAATAGCTGTAAGCGATAACTTGTTGAAAATCAAACATTCAGTCACCGAGACTGTGTACCAACATATATGAAATATTGCAAAAATGTTTACAATTTACCACACAATATTGACTGGAACAAGTATCTGCAGTCTGTTCATAGTAAACAACTTATGGTACAATAGAAAATTGATGTATGTCAGCCCTCTTATCAACGACAGTAGTGGTGACAGCAACAACAATAATGATAGTGGGTGTACATCAGCGATAGTCTGTATAGTGATTATGGTAGAGGTTAGGTGATAGGGATGATGTTGAAAACATCCTAAACGTAGGAAGAACAATGATGACGACAACATCAAGGTAGCAACAGATGCAGTTGTGGTGGTACGAGTAGATATGGTGACAGGAGCAGAGGAGGTGACAGCGGTTGTGGAAGAGAGGTAGGAGGCACAATAAGGAAGGGTCCTTAATGAAAATACGAAACATCATATATCCCAACAATGTGAAAGTGCAACCTCCTCACAAATTCTAAGAAAATCATGGAGTCACTAGATGTGGAAATGTGCTGACAAGAATATGATATTTTTCAAAAAACACTAAGTTGTTCAATGCTAAATGTGAAAATCTGTATGAAAGAAACCATCGGGCTAGCATAATATGCAAATATGATAGATTTTAGTCGTCTACAGGCTCTACCTCTTAGACTAGACTCTAGAGTAAATTGCTATAATTGAGATCAATATGCAAAGTTTTAGATATTTACAGTCCATATTGATTGGATATAGATACTGGTATTGGACATTATTACAGACTGGCAAGTTCTTGAAGAATCCCAAAAGTTGGATATTACACATTGCAACTTTTTATAACCAACTTATAAAGCCAAGATATACAGAGAGACGCATGGAGAAGCTGAATCTTGGACTGGATTGCTCTGCTAAGCTATTACAATTATTTTTGATTTACCATTGTTTTCTATTTCAATACACTGGAAATTTCCTTCAAGTCATTAGAGTTCTTCATATCCAAAAGAATAAAAGAAAAAATATTTGCGGTTTCAGATATTCAAAACTTGTCCCTTGAGAAGTAACACAGCTCAAAAGATGAATCTATTCATAATGGACAGCCATGTTAACCAAGCTAAGTAAGATTTACACTAATTTGTGTTGAGATCTTAGGACAAGTGGCAATTGCTCCAGATCTCTTTCCACACTGTAGTTTCTATATCAGAGGTACTTGCTTACAGATACTCTCTGCATCATGATGATAACAAAAGGCGAGAAACCACTATATTGGTCAAATCCTCTGGCGCAAAATTTTGAAAATGCTTCGATTTTGTTCAAATCAGACTTGGACTGCAATTGAATGTTTTCAGGAGGTCTTATGCGGAGAAAAAAAATGTGTAACCAGTTATGGTTTGAAGTCCAATCCAGACTGGATAAGGATATCCTATTTAAGGAGTAATCCATTGTGCAGTTCTAATCATCTACCTCTGATGTAGTAAAAAATGTAAGTGACCCTAGAATATGGATAATCCACCCTTCAGCCAAAGCTTTGTGAATCTTCCCCCATCTTTTACTCTTAAAACTACAAATCTAAAGAATTTCATTACGAAGGATTTAGAGAAGAAAACTCTCTTCTCCAATATTCAGTTTAATGCACTTATTAATTTCTTTTTTATAGATTCAGATGATAGGATCAAATGTAAGGTATGATCAACAATAATAAAATATGGAAGGTTATAATGAAAGAAAAAAATTGATAATTAAAACTATTGGAATGTGAATTGACAATTTGATCAGACCTGAAATGCAGGACTGTAGAATTGTCGTAAATGTCTAAAAGGAGAAGAGCAAGGCTAAACATGATGTAGGGGGAAAGAATCTAAAGGACATCTGAGCGAAGTGACAAGACTTGCATCTGTTTCAATACAAACAAGCAACGAAGGAGAATTTAGAAACCTAGACAAATAGCCAGGTGAGTCAGTGGTAGGAATTGCAGTTACCGTTTACTTCAATAATCGAACTTTTCTATATATTGGCTTCGCCATTTGGGTTATGTTCAAAGTTTGGCACATAGGTTTCGCGTATTGGTAACTTTGCAGTAATACAATCAAAGAAATAGTAGTAGGTGATCTACACATGATCAGAAGAAACAAACAAAAGGATGAGATA